TATTTTTTTGAGTTTTGGATCATATTTGCGTCGGTATATAAATTCATTACAAAATTATTCTCGATCATGAGATTATGAGTTCATAAATATGTGTATTATATAAATTTGAAATTGGAAGAGTAAATTAAGAAAATAAAAACCAAAGATTTTCACCTTCTGTAACTAAAATGACAATCAAGAATTTAAAGCACCTGATTCTGTGATGTCATGGTTTGTGTTTTATTCTCACTGACACACATGAATATGCTGGGGATGATGCTGGAGAAAAGAGTGACCTAATAATTTCCCATGCAAAGCCAGATGCATTTTTTTATTTCTGTGGCCACATACTTGGATGTCCTGTTAACATGTCCATCACAACCTATCAATAAGTTAGGTCATAGCCTCTCTCTCTCTCTCTCTCTCTCTCTCTCTCTCTCTGTCTCTCTCTCTCTGTGCTGTCATTTAAAGGAAGAGAAAATTTATTCAGGAACCAGAATGGTGAATGGAACATCAAGCAACATAATGATGGATGGACTCTTTCCAGAGTATCTCCTCTTTATTTAATCTATTTAGGACAACATGGATAATAGAGGAGCTAATCCTTCACTCTGAATGCCATGGAAAGAAAGAAAAGGCTTGAATAACATTGTACAGATGTGTTGTTATAGTCTGTTGGATGATAGGAGCATCTCTCTAAAAGGAATATATATATATAATCATTGTTTAGATGCATTTAAAGTTAACTATGAATTTAGATTCCAAGTGGCTGTTTTTCAGGAATCATTTTACTGACCCCATTTTGTGGTAAGGGAGCCTCTGAATACTATTTTTCAAGTGTCACTTTGAAGTTAAGGAGCAGGAAAAGATGACTTCAGAGTTGAGTAAACTAATTTCAAGCAAATTGGTGAGTGCCAAGAAAGCCTCCCTAAACTAATTTCAAGTGTCACTTTGAAGTTAAGCAGCAGGAAAAAAACATCATAAACACCTTGTGAAAGCTCTAAGCTACTTATACAAGTCCTATTTGTTTTCTCAAAAGCTGAAGAAGTATGATTCAGGAATCTTCTCCTGACTGTTCTTCCACTACTGGCCAAAATGCACTTGATCAAATGCAAGCCTTTTTTTTTGTTTTCTGTCAACTGGTGGAGCACTTGATCAGGATAAAAAAGAGGTTCATGAAAGTGATTTCAGATGTGATTTTCCTTTTTGTTAGTGCTTTGGTTGCTGAGATCACTTCTTGGTACTTCCATTGACCCATGATGGTACATTAAAAACAGTGATAAGTATTTCCAACAATTGGTTGCAGCAAAACTAGCATATTTGGATCCTTCAGAATAATGCTGAAGAACAAAGATGGTGGATGATGTCCTCAACCATGACACCATCAGCAGAATGTCAGCAATCTGTGTTTCTTTTTCTATCAATTGGACCTGAAATAGATACCAAACTTTGTTTCTAGGAAGTACTTGTTGTTGTTCTCTTATACCACACCAGTCTTGCAAGTTGAAGCAGAGATCTCTATGTAACTTCATCCCATGACTCATTAGATTAACTGAGTCTATGATGCCCACTTTTACTCAATAAAAAAATTGCTGGTGCAGCTTTTGTGCACTCTTATGTTTGTTTCTGACAGCTATATGATTCAGCATGAGGTGGAAATAAATAAGATTTTAAGATAGTGAATGCAGAGAAGAAAAGAAAAGATTCCACAGGGAACCATTGTTGCTCTCAAATATCTTATAAGAGTACCAATCATCCATCCATCCATCAATGTTTGATTGATTTAATGTGATAGGGTGGATGTCGTCCACACTCAGAAGAAGTGGTCCTGCCCTAAATGAGAATGATTGACATGTTACATTAGGAGCATAAATAATTAGGAATTGAATGAATTGGACCAACCAATTCTCTTCTACAATCAGAAAATTCTGAAATTGTGCAAAGTTGAAAGTAATCAGTGAAAACATTGTGGAATATTCACCTTGCTATATTATATGTGCCAAAATGAGGTTTTGAGTTTTTAGTGGTGAAAGTGTTAAAGAAAACAAATGCAGGACTGTCACTGTGCCTCACCAACTACAGAAGATCCTTTTGGTCCAAAGAAAGATGCAGAATGCAAAATGACATGTTTTTGTTGTGGAAAGATGAGCAATTGGGCTATGCAGGTGCATATTTGGACCACAACTTTTGCATCATATGAAGTTATCAAGCAAGACAAACACCCAAAAGAGCCATAGGAGTCTCCTCTTACCCACATCTTAGAGGTTCAAAAAACCATGCAATTCTTTTATTTCTGCAAAAGTGGGAACCTTCTGGTTGCTGCCCACTGCCTTGATGGTGATACAACCATCAGGATATGAGAATCAAGGGCATTTAATGGTGCCAAAGGAGGAAATTTTGACATCATTGCATGCTTTTCCATTTTAACTTTCCCACATTAACATGAGATGCTCATCTACTAACTCTATGGGAAGATTTCAAGTTTTAGTCCAAGACCCATATCAGGTTGGCTGGACCGGTATGGTATGGATGCATACATCTCATGATATAGATATATTGTGTCCACATGATGTGCTAGTGTATCCACTAAACCAAAGAGGATATAAGAAGAGAGAAGAAGGAAAAAGTTATTGACAGTCAATGAGAATCTATCTAATTTACAAATCAAAAGAATAAAATATATAATTCTGGGCTGAACCGAATGAAATTGTCCAATCCAAGTAAGAATTTCTGATCAAACAGATAAATATCAATCAATGCTTACCACAAATCTGATCAAATTTTTAGACCTTAAGATTGGACAGTGCTAAGATGCATACTTGTGGGCAATAAGGTGGATGACATAATGAATATAGCATCAAAGTGACAAAGAGAAATGTTTGTGCTGCAATTGACATAAGGTGGAGTGGTAAGCACACCTAATTCAGATCCCACATTGTGGAATATGCACCCCCGGCTGTCCTTTATCCTTCCATCACCATCAACAACATCTTTTCGACAATTAAAGATCCCATGATTTAGACCCCTCATGTGGACGTGTCATGCTGCTTCATCACAAATCGATGGACAAAAAAGTGTTAGCATCAACAGAAACATCTCACCAAAATGTCCAACACTAAAGAAATTGCTTGTAAGGTGTGGCGGTGCAGATTTGATTCACATGCACAAACATCTAAATTTGTCCACAACCAACATGTCTCAACAAATGCAATGTATCTTTGACCCACCTCTCCTTTTCTTTCCCTAGAAAAAGAAATCAGCATATACTACTTTGTAACACAAATCAAACCATGCTCATTCCATGAACAGGTTGCCTTCTCTATATACATGAGTAAATTTATAGACAAAAAATAGATACAGAAAAGCCAATACATGAGTGATGATAACATATTCTTGAGATACTGATGTGAACTAAAGCTAGAAGATGATCCAATCCCAGAGTGGCATCTGCACTTTGTGCAATTATTTGGGTCCAAAAAATCACAACAAAGAAAATAAAATACATAGAGAGGAGTGCTCATAACTTTTTAGGGATCAATAGGGACTCAAAAATATATGACAAGCCTTGAGGTATTATTACATTTCGATAAAATGTCAATTCAAGCTACAGGTCAGAGTTGATGTGGGATTATTATCCGCATATAAATTGAAATGTCAACATAAATCAGCAGTATAGAATTGAATGATTTCCATACTAGCCTGGTGGGATTTTGCAAAGTCACCAAATGTTCAAAGGAGGAATTGCTAGAGAACAAGAGAAACTTTTGTCCATTTCCAAGAGACAAATGGAGCACATGGAGTGGGTCATGAGAAGACAGAGAACATGTGAGCAGTTTGGAGCATCTTGCAGCACCAGTCTTTTTTGATGAAATATTGGAGTAATTATTCCATCATCAGTAAAGAAGCAAGGAGTTATAAGATTGAAACAGCCTGTTGGAGTCCATTACACTACAACCAGTCAAGTCCTATCAAACACATCCCCCACCCCTGTGGAAGATTGAAAATCCAGACTGTTTCTGATACACATTCAAAATAAGCAGAACTCCAATTAGGAGTTCCATGAATCCCTAAAATTTCTGCACTGATTCTATAGTTTCAAGCTGATCTACTGCAATACAATAATATTGCAAGTTCCCAACTGATGAGATTCAGAGTTTGACCATTCTGAGAACCCTCCCCCTTCTGCAACACAATATGCTGCTTGTCAAAAATAACCTAGTTCACTTTTTCACGTAGATTCATAATCCTGAAGAACTCCCCCTTCCGAGAAGCCTACTGTCTCCCATGTTGAACTTGTGATTCGAAACAACATCATAACACTCCATTGCATAGTTCCACAGCTCCATCGACATAAGATTGGACGAGAATTTATCATCTCAGATCACCAAAGAAGGACAAAAAGAAAAGATACAAAAACTTGATAAAAAATATCTACATGATCGGAGAAGAATCAAAAAAAGAAAATTATCTTATTTAAGCTTCAATTTTTATAGAGGGAATCTGATATCTTAGCAATGAAGTCAACTGAATCTCCTCAAGGGTTCTTTAATAGAGTGTTTTTGGAATCATTAATAAACTAAGAAGTTATGGTTATGCCAACGAAGATGGAAACATTGCTGAACAGATGTCAAAAGCTTGTCAATCAAGTTTGAAGGGCATAGCTGCTGCAATTGAATTAGACATGTGTAACCTTAAATAATATAAATTGATAGGATGAATTTAAGCACATGAACAAAGAGTCGAAAGATTCTTGGTTCAACCAATAGGATTACCCTATCAACCCAAACTTAATGATGAAGAAAAAAGTTCTAAAGATGGAAAGAAAATAAAATTTTCATTGCAGAGAATGAATCAATGATAGGGTGAAGTAACTTACACATTGAAGCAAAAGAAACAGACATAAAGAAAATAATGAACCCAAGTCATTAGATGCATAAGCTGCAAAATTCCATATCATTCTCAAAGTGGTTGTTTGGTTTGTAGAATCAAAGAAAAAAATTGTGCTAGCTTACTAATGAAGATGAGACAAGATTATTTTATTCTTCCACAAGCAAAGAACAAGAAAAAGAAAATACATGATGTTTGAATAGTAGAACAATATTTTAATGTCATATTATTGCAAAGACTCAAAATGCATCAAATGAAGAGACATGTTAAACTTGACTCTAAGAATTGCATAAATAACAACTTGATTTGAGCCTAGAATGGACACTGACTCTTATCTTTAAGAATACAGAACTAGCAAACACAAGGAATGATAGACCACGACTGTACAAAGATTTTAAAACTAGTGCACAAAAATTCTCTCCCCTTACTATCAAGTTTTACTTCCGTGCCGAATGGTATAGCTCCATATAGTCTAAAGCAGGCCGATTCCAAGACCAGTCTTGTTCCATCACGCGCTTGCAAAGTGAGTTGAACCATTCCCGTGCATCAAACCAAGCAGAGATTGCTCTGGAAGATCCAATTGTTAGACATATAAACTTGTTTGATATAAATGAGTAGGTTATTTTTCTTCTCAAATGACAGTGGAGATATTTACTGACAGCATGTATCCGTTCAATAGCAACCAACATATGGAATGTAGTTTTTCTTAGAGATGACTTGAGAATCAATATTTAGAAAATAGAACCATTCACAAAAGAAAGAGGCCAAATTATGAAATGCCAAACAACTTTGACTTGGTGAACCACATCAAGGGCTCTAAACATAATCCCTTAGCCTCCTACTAAATATAAACATAAAATATGGTTTTATGATTAGGGATGAAACATTAAAAAGTTAACAAAAGAAATTCTCGATTTAAAGTGAGAGTTCCATTTATCTATCAAATCGCTCAATGCTAGTAGGTTCTTATTGAAAATAACATATCTAATTAAAAATTACAGCAAGGAAAATGCAAGAGTTTTGCTGACATCCTGAAGCCCTTAATCAAACTAAATCAAGCAAATTTTACCTGTGCACTAGCAAAGGAGTATCTCCTAAATATGCATTTCGGTGTTCTGTTAAGAATACAATAAATCGAGTAACAGACAGCCAATCGAGGAAACTTATGATACGTGCCTGTTGAGAGCATAGTCCACGCCAGAAGGATCAGCTCCCTCGAAGCTAAACCCATTTGGTTCAAGACCTTGCGCACGAGCTCTTTCTTTATCATTGTCAATGTCAAAGACTGTGTCATAAAGCCCTACATAATGCAAAAGGAAATTCCCTTATTTCTGATAATTCAAAAAATGACAAAATGTGATTCACTATATAGAACAAAGAGTGGCAGATGCATGATCAGTCTGGATGGATCTATTTACATGGCTGTGCTAACATATAGAACAGCCAATTAGGATGTTGAAAATAATGAATGAGACCAAGCATTAGACTCTGGTTTATGGGCAGACTGGAACTATGGGTAACAATTTCCATGCGAGTGGGACTGGATATATTACTATCTTGGTCATTTGTCTGAAACCCCAAACATTCCGCAGATGCAAATTCAATGATTTTGACCTGCAACTGACATCAACTAATTGCATATAGTAGCACAAGATGACCTTGAGGGTCAAAGGCCCACAGTAATATTATCCTCAGATCATCTTTTCTTCATATTGAGTTTGTAAAGTTCAAAAGTGCATTAATTGACTATTCATTAAAATAGCTTCTTTGATTGCAAAGGAAAGACCGTGTACATTGATTCTCCTCAGATCCCATATTGATGGAGTCTCTTGCACTAGGCTAACCATTAATTGATTATGATTCAGTTGTATGAAACTGCTGCTTGAGCATAAACTAATAAATTTACTGAAAGTACAATAACAAAATTATTAAAGCACTCACCTCCAGTTCTACGAACAACCGGAATGGAGCCGTATCTCATAGCTATAAGTTGGGTTAAGCCACATGGTTCAAAAAGTGATGGAACAAGAATGAAGTCTGCACCAGCATAAATCTAACAAAAAAGGATAAACATTAGAATATCTCATCGACTTAAAGAATTTTGACAGGGCACCTAACAGAATGCAGTAAATGATGTCTAACCAGATGAGAAAGAGGTTCATCATAGGTCAAACAAAAACGGACACGGCCAGCATGGGAAGAGTGCAACTGATCTGCCAAGTGAGCAAAATCATTCTGTATACGAGAATCCGGAGCTGAACCAAGCAGAACGACCTACAACAGATTTCCTGTGAATTATGAAATGCTATAACTAGAGTAATTAAAAATTTATGTATATATATATAATTGTATATTGTATTCATACCATTAAATCTATTAGGAGTTAAATATCGACATGGAATTAATATTAGACAGTGCCAAAACAAGGATATGCAAAGAAAAACCTGCCCATTGCGCTCAAGTGTTTGCCCAACAGCATGTTTGATGAGGTGAATTCCCTTCTGAACTGTCAGGCGGGTAATTATCCCTACCAAAGGATGATCAGATCTTCTCAATCCAAGTCTTTGCTGCAATGCCTCTTTAGCAGCCTTCTTACCCGCAACAACATTCTCTGGTGTGTAAGGCACCTAAAATGGATGAAACAAATTTAAAAAAGAGTTCAGGAAAATTTTGTTCAGTTAGATCAAGCTCTATTTAGAACCATTTTATAAAGGACAATCCTACAGAACAATTTAATTATAAGCTAGATAGGTCCATAAAGTCGTCGGCCAACCACCTGCGCGTAACCTTGGGATGTCTAAAATTAGCATCTGAACAATCCTTTCCTCAGGATGTTCAGTCAGATTGACAAATAGCAATTAAGAAGCTTCAAAACTAAAAAGCCAGAAGTAGTAGATTAATGAGAGCTTTCAATTTAGGTTATATATGTGTACAAGGTCATAAACATGATGATCAACTTTGGATTGCATGCCGAATAGCTCCAAGGCTTAGGGGAAATATCACATTAAGATACACTCTGGTTTATTTTCACTTGTGGAAGACTTGTTAGATCATTCCTTATAGACCAAACCTCTTCAGAAAAGCAGAAACTTCTTCTCCGACCATTTATAGTTATTTTCATAACAGAACAATTTTTGAAGAACTGGTAATGTGAAGTTCATAAGATCTTAATCATTCAGCTAAGCAAGATCAGTGTCTAGCTTCCCTAGAGGATAGATTCTCTGACCCAGATACTGAAGAAGCAGAGACAACTAACTGCAGTAGCAGTGATAATAAATAAATTATGGCACTCTGCAACATTATTTAAATACTAGTGATATCAGGGGATGAACAATACCGATTAGATTCAACATATCAACATTTTTTTCAGTCTTCTTTTTTTCTTATTGATGTATCAAAGTGTACTATTCCATTTAAATCAGTACATAACAAAGTGATCAGATTTCTGTGTGTATTGCAGTACCCATATATAAAATCTTGTTCTACACTTCGTACAATGTAATGATAAGCCTTTGTTATGACTCAAAATATATTAATAGCAGGCTTCATGAATAAGAAAGTCTCTTAGTTATCTAGCTATATGCCTTAATTGTCAGGAATCGAATAATGATGAGTTTGAGTTAAACTAGTCAGGATCTACATAAATCAGATTAGACAACAATTTACCCTAAGCAACATGGGACTATTCTCTGAGTCAATTTCTATTCACCTCGCACACATGAATATTTTCAACATTAATTTTATAATGATAGATAAACTTTCTAGTCTCTTCTTTGCTTCGTCTTTTAACTTTCATTTGCCAAAGAAGAAATTTTTTAAATTAATATCCACATGTAAAAAGTAATTGACCCAATAGAATAAATATAATTTTATAATATCTCACAGTACCAATTATTGAGTAACCATAGGATGAGGATGAAATGATTGATGAACTTTGGCATGCAAAACTTGGCTTGTGTTTTCTTGATCATGCCAATAACAAAACAAATTAAAAGCAGAATATATCAACATCATGCATGTCAAAGAGGAAAACTGCATCATACACGACACTAATAAAGAAAGCTAAAGTTTCATCATGAATTCTGAGAAATATACCGGGATAAAGTGATCATCGTATGGGTCCCAGATATCTGGATCTATACCATTCACGATACCATGGAATTTGTGAAGGTGAGAAGATATTGCAGGATTTCCAGCAACTTCCCTTGAATATGTTTGTGAAACCTACATGGGAAGGCAACTACTTAAAAGATGAGAACACAAAACATGTAAGTTAACAGTGAAAATCATCTTAGCTGAATTTATTCTTCTGCATAAATTCTTAAGGTGCAGACCTAAACATGTAGAACTAATACATCAAAAGAAAAGGGGCACAAACACGGAACATGCAGAAGCTCAAAAGAACATGTTAATAAAAGAAAATCAGCTTCTTGTCAAACTCTACGTACATACAAATCAAGGATTGAAATTTCGTACCATACCGGAATTTTGAGATTTGCTCGGTACGGTACGGTATTATATACCGAGCAGTATATTTCGATATACCGCTATATATATATATATATATATATATATATATATATAT